TGTCCCTGTCCTGGTGCCTCCCAGGTAAGCCAGCCTTCAGCTCCCGCAATTATGTAGTTCAAGAGCTCTGGAGGAAGCTGCTCTGGAGAAGCTGAGAGGCGGGGACTTCATTCCCCACTGGGCAGAGCTGCGCTCAGTTGCAGCTGGCACATTTCTGCATCCCCCTAGTTAGAGTTTGTGTTGCAAATTCATACTGCCTGTCGCTGGTAAACGTTTTTCCATGGAGAAACGGAGCGAATGGTGTATCTCTAAGGAGCACCGAGAGAGGTGGGCTCCATTTCCCGGATGGCAAAAATGCCGGCAGGATCACCAGGCAGGTGTCTGTTGTCCTGATAGCGGCCAGATTCAAACTCTTCCAAATGCTTCCGAGCTGAGCATCTCTGGATATTGTTCTGAGAGTCATCAGGATGCATGTTTTTCATCTTGTACTCCTGGACTTGCAGCAATTTTAAGTGCTAAAACTCCTTTCAGAGACCTTTAAATAGTTTCCTTGGGAAGGAAAATACGTGATTGTATTACAGCTGTCATTTATTTATTAAAACACATCTTTATAGGCTGCCCATAACTGCCAAGGCCTTCCTAGGTGGCATACAGTACATTAAACATATTAAAACATAATAAAGCACATTGAAAACCTATTAAAACACTAACAAATTAAAACATATATAATAGCAGTATAAAAAGTGCCACAACATTCAGGGGCTAAGCATTAAAAAAATTTCTAAAACACTATGGCTTCGTCTGGTGCCAAAAGGAATATAGAGATGGTACCAGACGAATTTCCCTAGGGAGGGAGTTCCAAAGATGGGAAACAGCAGCAGAAAAGGCCCTTCACCTGGTTGCCACTGTTCTCATCTCGTTGAGGGATGGCTCTCGTAATGGTAGCATTTCAGGCAGTGTGAGATTCCTCATGTAGAACCTTCTGTTTTTTATTCTTAGTTTATTTGGTTTGTTTTTAAAGCTTTGGCTGGCGTTTCGCAGAATCATAGAATAGTAGATTTGGAAGGGGCCATGAAGGCCATCCAGTCCAATTTCTGCTGTTGCAGGACACCAAGGTACACCATCCCACTCAGAAGGCTGCCCAGTTTCTTTTGAATGTCTCCAGTGTGGGAGAGCCCACCACCCCTCCAGGCAGCTGGTTCCTCTGTCGTGTTGCTCTGACTGTGAGGAAGCTTTTCTTGATGTCCAGCCTGAATCTGGGAAGTTGCAACTTGAATTGATTATTCTGTGTCCTACACTCTGGCATCATCAAGAACAGATCTTAACCTTCCTCTTTGTGACATCCTTTGAGGTACTCATAGAGGGATCTCATGTCCCCCCTCAGTCTTTTCTTCTCAAGGCTGAACATGCCCAGTTCTCTCTGTCTTTCCTCATAGGGCAGGGTTTCCAAACCCTGGATCATTTTTGTTGCTCTCCACTGTACCCTTTCTACTTTACCCGCATCTTTCTTAAATCTTGATGCCCAGAACTGGACACAATATTCCAGGTGAGGTCTGACTAATGGGGAGTATAGAGGAACTACTACTTCTCGTGATTTGGAAGTAATGCTTCTGTCAATGCATGCCAAAATAGCATTTGCCCTTTTAGCGGCTGCACCACATCGTTGGCTCATGTTTAGCCTATTGTCCACAATTAATCTAAGATCTTTTTCTTTTTCAGTTCCGTTGAGCTACATATTCCCCATCTTGTATCAATGCCTTTGGTTTCTTTAAAAGAGCCAAACAGGCTTTTCCTTAAATCTAGCAGCCACAACCTTTCTGGTTTTTTTTTTTTAATTTTAGAGAACATGCAAGGCAGGGGAGCAGTCCAGTCCTTAAAAGACCCCATGCACCAGGTTGGCCAGCATCTCCCACAGAGTAACAATAAAAAAGACTTTTTTTTTTTTTTTTTGGACAGGGATTGAAAGTCACCTGCTCTGGCCCTGCCATGGCAACTTGCTCTAGAGACATGTTGCAGATGCACAGTCCAGTCTCCATTCATCCACTGCTAACACTTTCTTGAATCAAATACACCAATCTGAGCCATTTACCCTTCAGTACCTCCCGCAAGGAGACAGAATTCATTAACCCAGAGAAACCATCAGTGATGGGCCTTTTTATTTTTCTTTTCTCCCTTCCAAGATTCAGGGTGATTAGAATATGAAAATGACAAGCACGGTGGTGCAGATGTTTTAAAATCACAGCAGACAGCAATTAGCAACACGAGGAACAGCTGCTTATCTATCCAGATAAAGCTTCTTAATACGGAATTACACTCGAGGAACCGTTTTTGCAGATGGATCGCCTAATGCTTTACAGAAGGGAGAGTGGAGGTATTAACTTTGACTTGCGAGCCAGCATCCTATCATGCAATCCAGGGGATGCCTTCTCCGGAAGGTGGATTTTTGGAATTAGAGCCTGGGGTAACTTGCAGGTTAGGAGCCAGTAGCCTCCTCCCTTAAAGAAACAGCGCGTGGACCCTGTTCTTCCTTGCATGCTTGAGCTGTGGATTACAGAGCGTCTTCCTTTGGCTGGGATACATCCATGGCTCAGCCGGAGGTGTCGCTTAAAACAGTTAAGAGCGAGAAGAACAGCCTTGAATGCAGGATCGTTAGATAGGCTCCCTCCTGAGGCATTAAGCTAATCCATGGGGTAGCTAACCAAAATAATTTCTCCGGCTTAGGGACACTGAACAAGCCTAAAAGATGAGGCATTGCTTTTAATCAAGTACTCAAGAAAGCTGCCTTCAGTCTCAGACCCCGAAGTAAGTCCCTTTCCACTTCCCCCGGGGACCAAATGCGAAGGATACAGCTCTGCCCATCCTTTGTGCTGGTTCTCATCACAAGCTCTTTGCTGCTTCATAGTGCAGCCAAGGGCAAAGTTTCGTTCCCACTTTAAGCCCCAGAGACACCCCTGCCGATACAGGCATTAACATGAATCAAGGGTTTTTATTATTGTTAGTTTGCTTGTTTGCGTCATTTATATAGCGGCTTCCATCTTCCTCCTGTGGTGAGTGACTGGCCCAGAGTCACCCAGTGGGGTGGCTTCATGGTAGACCCCCGCCAAACACTCAGTCTCTGCCCTTTGGCCTCACCCACCTTGGAGGACTGGTAGGAGGATACAATGGAGAGAGAGGGACCTGCTCTCCTCAGTGGAAAGGCAGGACAGGAATGTACCAGATAAGTAGTAAATTCCCCCAAACCCCAGCCAGTATGGCCAGTGGTCAGCATTCTGGGCACTGCTGGCCAAAGGACCTGGTGGGCCCCAGCTTTGGGCAGGGTTTACCTGCAGGTCAAAGTCGAGGCAAAAGATTAGGATCGAGCAGAGAGCCAGGTGGGTCTACCGGGAGCCAGACAGACTCGGAGTACATCATTTGCTCTTGCTTCACCAGGCATTTTGTGTAAACAATCTGCATGTATCAGAAGCCGCTCCAAGCCAGCGGATCAGTGGTTACCATGCAGCAGCAAAAATGCGTGGAAAGTCTTTTGCTGCTGCTTCCTCTTTTTCCTGGTCTTCCTCTTCTTTGTCGTCATCTTCGTTGTTGTTTTCCTCTTCCCCTCCCCCTTCCCAGAATAGGCAATCCTGGAAACTCTGGGGAGGATGTTAAGAGCAAAGGGCTGAAAGAGAACCCTGTACCCCAGTCTGCCAGAAAGGAGCAGAGTGGCAACCTTTGGAGGCAGAGGATGAACTTGGATGAGTCGGTCGGAATGTTTGGCATCTGATTTGTCTGTGCCGCCCTCGCCAGCTTGGTGCCTGCCAGATGTTTGGGGTGGCAATTTCTGCCTTCCTCTGGGAGCTTAGTCTGAAATAACTGGCGTGCACCAAATTGGGGGAGGTTGGTCAAAAATTGTGTAATTTGATGAACATGGGGCTAATTGTTGTAACTTAGGCCCGGAGGCCATGGAATGACCGTGATGGTCTCAGTAGTCAGTCAGTAAATCCTGGAAATGCAGTAGGATATTGCATAAGGAACCAACTTCAAATCTCACCTACTTCCCTTCTTTTGAGTCCTTGTTTTCCAGTCGTTGGTCATGCCAGTTCTGGAGGAAGAGAAACTGGCAAAACCTGGCATCGTGCATGAGGCATGGTGGCTCATGAAACAGAAGCCTATTTTTGGGTTGTCTAAAGATGAATTCATCGCTTCAGTTTAAAGAAATTTTATAAAACGTATTACATGGTAGATAATAAGTATTTTGGAAGGAGGAAGGCCTGTTTCTCTGCGTAGGCCCTGATCTTTTGTGTGTGCTCCAGAGGTCCTTGATTCATTCAAGTATTTCCTCTGCAATTGTCCCATCGTTCATGTTGGTTGTTTCAGGGGCCCTTGAAATTTTTGGAGTGGGGGATCTGAAGAACATCTAAGAACTTGCTGAGCAGTGCTCTTCTATCATTGCCTGTCTATTGATCAACCGTAGAATCGATAGGTGTTCCTACCTATCGATTTCTTATGGCTGGGTCCTCCAGTACATGCATGTTGTACCAGCAGCGGGGGATTGCATGGGCCTTTGGAAGAAAAAGGGAACCCTATGAGGAGGAGGCATATCCCTCACCAAGGAAACTCTTTGTGTTGGATTCATTATCAAAGGAGCTTGTGAATAATACCCAGCCACAGTCTCTCAGCCCAGCCTACCTCACAGGTTGCTGCTGTGAGGATAAAATGCAGCTCCGGAAGTTGCCTTGGGTTCCTCACAAGAGGAAAAAAGGTGGGATATACATGTGATGCAATAAAAATAATAGTAATAATAATAATTCAGAAGAAAGGAGCTTTCTTAATGCACTCTTCCCTACAGAAGTACTGCCGTTGCTCTCTTCACGTGAACTCAGCACTGATGTGTCCTTTTTGTCTTGCTGTTCAATGTGAAGGCCTCTTGCATTGCTTCTTTCTATTTAGGATAGAAATTTAGCAATGCTTCTAGGAAGAGTGTATCCAGATTGTTGCATTATTCAACTGCAAGGCAGAAATGTCAATTCAGGATACCCAGAGGGGTTCGGAAGACTAACTTTCCTCTTTCTTCTCCTTCCCAGGTTTACGAAAGGCTGCAGAAGCATTCTGCTGTGCGTTACGATCCAGGCCTGCCGCAGGACTTCACCAGTGACCCCTTAAAATCACGGCACCAGCAAAAAAGCAACAACCAGCATCATATCGATTGGCCAATGAGCTCTGAATCCGGAGCAGCCTCCCAAACCTGCTTCATGGCCCCCGAGCCAAACCGGGAAGCTGCCAGTGCCATCAAGATCCCTACTTTGGAGCCGGGTGTATCGTTCAGCAAGTCCCAAGCTAAGAAATCCAATGCCAGCAACACGTGGGGTCAGTTGCCAAGCAGTAGTAGCAAAGACCACATCATCTGCAGTGCAGCCCCGGCCTCAAATCCACTCAGTGTAACTTCCCAGCCTAACGCTCTACCTGATTGCAATGGCTTTTCACCACTCGGGAGTCAAGAGGGAGGGGGGAAAGCGGACAGCCTCGACCAGCCTGCTGGCAGCACAAAGAAGAAATCCAGCAAAAAAGACTTAATCAACCAAACCGTCCAAACCGCAGAAATAGAGTGGGTGAAAAGTGTGCAGAAGCCGTTTGAAGCCAAAACCCATGACAGCATGGAAGGGAAAAAGGAATCCAGTGCAACCAAACCATCACCCCCCAGGCAAAGCCCAAACACCGCCGGCAGTTCGGAAAACAACGTCAGTCATGTGCGGATCACGATCCCCGTCAAGACACCCACGGCGGAGCTGCCCGGTCACAAGAGAAAGAAACGGCAGTCTGCGAAAATGCCTATGGACAGGAATGTCACAGAGAAACCCCCACTTTCTGGGCATTCTGTGAGCAGCGATGTAGGCAGTAGAACCCACTCGCCGTCAGAGGCGTGCAAGAAAGAACTGCAAGTCACAAAGCAAGTCAAACCCACTGAGAGTGAGCCTGCGTTAGCGCCAATGGAAAGTACCGAATTGATCAGTAAGTCTCCCACACCCAATGCGACCAGACTCCGGAAGTCCACAGCGGTGACATCTGCCCCAGGGACCACTGATATCCCTATGGCCAGCAAGCCACCGGTTCAGCACCCAAAGTTTTCAGCAAAACGAAGGTGGACTTGCAGCAAACCTAAAAATATGCTCCAGGAACCTTCCCTGGGCCCCTCTGAGAAACTGATGGTAGAACCTCCCTCAGCATATCCCATAACGCCATCGAGTCCTCTGTATACCAATACAGACAGTCTTACTGTGATTACTCCCATCAAGAAGAAGAGGGGGCGACCAAAGAAACAACCTTTGCTCACGGTTGAGACCATCCATGAAGGAACATCCACCAGCCCGGTCAGTCCCATCAGTCGGGAATTTCCTGGTACCAAAAAAAGGAAGAGGCGACGGAACTTGGTGAAGCTGGCCCAGATGGCTCCAGGTGAGGAGAGTTCCATCAGTGAGCTGAAATTCCACAAAAAGGTTGGCAAGCTTGGTGTGTTGGACAAGAAGACCATCAAGACCATCAACAAAATGAAGACCCTCAAGAGGAAGAACCTTTTGAGCCAGATCTTATCCTGCTCCAGTAATATTGCTCTGAAAACGAAAGTGCAGCCACCAGCCAGTACGGGGTCTCCAACCATTGACGCCCGGCTCGGGAAGCAAATAAATGTGAGCAAGAGGGGGACTATCTACATTGGCAAGAAAAGGGGAAGGAAGCCCAGGTCTGAGTTGCAGCCCCCAATGGAAGAACCGAAAACAGCCATCAAGCATTTGAGGCCTGTATCCAGCCAGCCAGAAAAGCCAGCAGTGCCTTCCACCCTGCAGTCTCTCGTGGCGACGTCACCAGCAGTTCTTCATCCGCTCTCGACACAGTTAGTTGGATCCAGCGGCAACCTAAGCCCTGCCAGCACTGAAACCAACTTTTCCGAGTTAAAGACTATGCCAAATCTGCAGCCCATCAGCGCTCTTCCCACAAAAACCCAGAAAGGAATACACAGCGGGACTTGGAAGTTGTCCCCACCCAGGCTCATGGCAAATTCTCCGTCCCACCTTTGCGATATCGGTTCCCTGAAGGAAGTCACGCTGTCTCCAGTGAGTGAATCTCACAGTGAGGAAACCATACCGAGTGACAGTGGGATTGGAACTGACAACAACAGCACTTCTGACCAAGCAGAGAAGACTTCGGAATCTCGTAGAAGATACTCGTTCGACTTCTGCAGCCTGGACAATCCGGAGGCCATCCAGTCTGACACCAGCACTAAAAACAGGCATAGTCACCGGCAGAAGCACCTGATCGTTGATAACTTCCTCTCCCATGAGGCCATGAAAAAACCAAAGCACAAGAGGAAGAGGAAAAACCTGCAGAACAGAGATGACCTCCAGTTCCTGGCGGATTTGGAAGAGCTTATCAGCAAGTTTCAAGTCTTCAGAATTTCTCACAGGAGCTACACATTTTACCATGAAAATCCATATCCCAGCATTTTTAGGATTAACTTCGATCACTATTACCCTGTGCCATATATCCAGTATGACCCATTGCTGTATCTTCGCAGGACCTCTGACATGAAGTCTAAGAAGAAGCGTGGTAGACCTGCCAAAACCAATGACACCATGACGAAGGTGCCTTTCTTACAAGGGTTTGGTTACCCTATTCCCAGTGGGAGTTACTATGCACCCTATGGAATGCCTTACACGTCAATGCCTATGATGAATCTTGGTTACTACAGTCAGTACCCAGCTCCCTTGTACCTGTCCCACACGCTCGGAGCCGCCTCTCCATTTATGAGACCTGCTGTTCCCCCTCCCCAGTTCCACGCCAGCCCCCACATGAAGATGCCCAATACAGCCAAGCATAAAGTGAAGCATGGCGTCCATCTGCAAAGCCCGGTGGGGATGGGCCTTGGAGAGGTGCACCCCTCCCTGGCCTCAGCAAAGGTCGCAGGGACAAACATGCCAAGTGGCCGACTCCACAAAAGGAAACACAAACACAAGCACAAGCACAAGGACGAGCGGATACTGGGGGCCCACGATGACCTGAGCAGTCTCTTTGCGAGCAAGTCAGCTGGCTTCTCTAACCACTCAGTAAGTGAAAGATTAAATGTCTCAGACAAAGACCTCTCCTTGCTGAATGAGAAAAGCAAGCATAAAGAGAAGCAGAAGCACCAGCATTGTGAAGTGGGGCACAAAGTTTCCAAGAGCAGCTTTGAAGTGGATACCTTGTCTACGCTGTCGCTCTCTGATGCCCAGCAGTGGGTGCCGAGTAAGGATAAAGGCGACTTGAGTAATGATCCTGTTGACTCGTGCTTGAAGAGGTACTCTGGGAACAACGAGAGCAGCACAAGATCCGAGTCCTTGGACGTGTTTGGCGAGATTAATTCCTTGAGTGAAAAGCGGGACAATGACGGGAGTGGAAGCAAAAGGAGGAGTTTTGAAGGATTCGGAACGTACAGGGAGAAGGACCTGCAGACCTTCAGAACGAGTAGGAAGGACAGGAATGCCTTTGATTCCTCAGCCACTTCAGGTAAGACTCTGAAAAAGACATGCTTCTTTCTTTGTGAGCTGTTGTTCCCCACCCTCTTGCAACTGGGCATTTTGTGGCTTTTTGTTGCATTGCGCTATGGTTGTTCTGACAATCCATCCACAGTGACTTACTAGTTTAAGTATTGGCTTGCAGTCTGATGACTAAAGTAGGGAAAGGGAAGGGGATAGGAAGGTTAGGAGAAAGCTAATAAATTCAGAGAATATCTATTTTGTATTGTTATACTGAAAAAGAAAACCCTACATAATGACTGCGACAGTCCTGGGAGAGGGGAAAAGCCAAATCAATGTTGGTCTGCACCAACCTGATGGAGGAACCAGGCGGTCAGTTTGTGCTTGCTGACATCACTCTTGACCCAGATGCTTCCGAGTGGGAAAATGCTCTTAACACAATGAGTTCGTCCAAAAGACTCTTACAGTGGAAAAGCCCAAGTACAGTTAAATGAGTAATTTCTTTGGGGAGGGGGCATTGTTCACTGCTAAGCAAATGTTTTCGTGGAGAAGGTTTTGAGCTCAACCTTTGGCATTTCCAGGCGGCGCTGAAGGAGATGAGAGCTTGGTAAGTCGCTGCTGATCGGAGCAGTCGGACCTAAACTAAGTGGATGAATGGTCCAACGCACTGGCTGGTAGCTTCATGCATTCCTAGGAAGCTTCCTGAAGTGAGCCTCTAGAGGCAAACCCAGGCCAGTGGAGGTGGCACCATAATGTCTCCCCCAGATGGTGGTTCTCAGAAGTCACTCCTATGACAGGTTGTTCCACGTAGTGGCCATTCATAAGTCTTTTTCTGTGCACACTGACCCAAGGGCATGGGCAAGTATCTCCACCACATGGATCACCCAATCTCCATATGAGACTGCCCGTTCCCTAAAGCCATTGCCAGAGGCTCTGCCCCGTGCCCCCCATGGAACAATATATACCTGGAAACAACTGAGGGGAAAGCCTTCTTCCAGTTTGCAGCCTGTGAAATGCTCTCCCCAGAGAAGTTCTCCTGGTGCATACATTGAAATATCTTTTGGACTGTAGGGAAACCCCATTTACTTTTCCTTGGCTGTGCAGGGACTTTTCATTTCAAGTAGATTGCTTTGTCTGCTGCACTTACCTGCTCTATTTAATTATTGTTCCTTGCATGCAAACTGTGTTATTCGAAGGGCAGGATAAAAGTGCAGCCTAAAATGAGCACTGTATGCTGATGCCATGGGGAATTCCCCCTGCTGCAGCCGGAAGCTTCTACATGCAGTGGCATGGGAAGTCACAAATTTTTCTCCAGTGGCACCCAGACCCTGGAATGCACTCCCTAGAGAGGTACGCCTGGTCAAACCTTTTTATTTAAGCAGTATTTTAAACGTTAATAGTTTTAATGATTCTTCCAGTCGCTTTTGCTTTGTTTTATTTTGATTCAGTTTGATTCATTTGCTGTTTATTCATTGTTTCATAGAGTATTACTGGTTTAAACTGTTATGGGATGTTATCAGATGTTTTAAATTGTTTTTTAATTTGCTGTTAGCCATCCTGAGATATTTATATAAAGGACGGCATATAAAAGTTTTTAATAAATATATAAACTCGGAAGTGGTTTTCAGGTACCCCTAAGAAGGCCGTCCCATGAAGACAATCCTTACTAAAAGGATACCAGTAACAACATAAAGCGCAGAAATAATAGATCGTAGAAGCGGTTTTGCTTTGCTTAGGCTGATTCCTTTGCCGTCCCTGTAACTTGGGGGAAGACAATGGCCCAACAGCTTTCTACGGTCTCTGGACTCGCATTGATGGCCTGCTGTATTATCTTCTTGGAAAAACGCCTTGAAGCAACTCCATATGATCTGGTTGGAGGTTCTAAGCCATGCTCAGTTGTAGTTTAGCTCTCCACAAACCAGAAGCCCCGTGCTGGCAAATTGAAATGCCAAACCAGGCTGAAAAGTCACGATTTACCCTGTGATCCTAATACCACTTAGCTGAAAATAGTTTGCATTGCCTAGATCCTGATGGCAAAGAAACGCGTTCCGTTTTGAACTGAAGCAACACTAAGTCGCCACCTCGGCAGTGGGAGCGAATCGGCTTGCACAGCTGCTGAGAAAACGCCTTTTGTTTCAACACAGCTTGTGTGTGCACTCCATCTGTGCATTCCCCCCCCCCCCCGGATAAGCGGCAAAAGAGACCGGTAGCCCTGAACTGGCTAATCCCGGCAATGTTTGTCTCCATCAAACTTAGCAGGAATAATGTGAAACAAATGGCTCTTTGTTTGGACATTTATATCCCACTACCCTGTGATAAAATCAGAAGCAAGGCAGCCTCTGATACAGTCACAACAAAATGAAAAACAAGCCTAGCCATAAAGCAAGCAGCAGTCGTTTTCCAGAGGAGTTCTGAAGACCAGGCAGGTATCTGTAGCGAAAGGGTTGTTTAAACAGCCAAGATTCAGAGGTGCTTCCCTTGTAGTTGCTGTGTTACAACGGCGACATTAATTCCTTGCTCACAGTAGAAACCGGGGAGGGACCGAGGCTGCCGCCAGCGTACCCCATGGCATGCGCACTGCAGAAGCAGTCCCTCCCCAGCATCCTGTGCAGCAGCTGAGAAAAGGGCGCGCACCTGGAGCTTTCCTTTCTTTCAGGGCCTCTGGCAGACCAGTGGGCAAGGGAGGAGATGCCTTTCTGGGTGTTTATTTATTTCAAGGTTTTCTCTGCCGTCCCATTACTAAAAGTTTCTGGATGGCTTACGAAGAATGAAAAAACCCAAAGAACAAAAACCACAACAACAACGCACAGCGCACCACATCTAAAAATAGTGATTAAAAACAAGGATAAAACCAATTAATTGTTAAAATACCGGGAAAATTAAAAGGTTTTTGCCCGACGCTGAAAAGAATAGGGCGACGGCACCAGGCAAATACGCTCCCTGGGGAGCATGTTCCACAGTCGGGGCGCCACTGCTGAAAAGGCCCTTCTCTGAGTAACTACCCTCCTGATTTCCTTCAAGGAGGGCTCCCGGATAAGGGCCTCCACCTCAGGTCTCAAGGGGGCCGGCACATAGGGAAGAAGGCGCTCCTTCAGGCATCCAGGACCCACGCCATTTCGGACCTTATAGGTCATTACCAACACCTTAAATCAGGCCCAAACTTCAGTGGGGAGCCAGTGTAAGCAATACAGGACTGGCATGATATGGGAATATCTGCCAGTCTCTGTTAATAACCTGGCAGCTCTATTCTGGACCAATTGAAGTATCTGGACTGTCTTCAAAGGTAGCCCCATGTAGAACGCACTGCAATAGTCCAAACGGGAGGTTACCAGAGCGTGGGTCACCGTTGCCAGGCACTGCTCATCCAGGCAGGGATGCAGCTGATGTAGCCAAAGCTGAAGGAAAGCGCACCTGGCCACTGCCAGTACCTGATGCTCCAGGGGCAGCTGGGTAGATGAGCATAGCATGAGAGGCAGGACTGGGACCACAGCTGGGCTGCTTTCACACCTTCTTGCCACATTGGAAGACCCCCTTCATTCAGCTATGAAGGAAGACTTCCAGCCAAGCATCCCACTTTAGCCTTCTCCAACCTTGTGCCCTCCCTATGCTTTGGACTTCAACTCCCATGAGCCCAGGCAGCATAGCCAGGGGTCAGGAGTGCTAGCCGTTGTAGTTCCAGACATCTAGAAGGCACTGGGTTGTAGAAAGCTGCCCTGGTTGGACATGCGTAAAATACTTCCCCAAGGACACAAAGTAAAAATGGGTTGAAAGTTTGAGTTTTCAGACCAATTGGGGAACCGAAATATTCTGCTTTCAAATACTTCACAGGATAGCATTCCTCCCAGAATTCCTCCCATTCCTTCCAGAATTCTTCGGTATCACTTATACGGGCATTATGGAAAGAAAGAAAGAAATGATCGTCCATCTTCTCAGTAACCACAGCCTGGGGTGGGTGGAAGGATTTTGCCTTCACCTTCCAAAATTCAACAGAATTCCCTTGTGTTGAGCCATTCATCCATCCTGGGACATTTTTCCCATGTAGGATGGGATCTAAATGTTTTAAATACATACATACATGAACTGGGCAGAAAAACTAGGGTTGTTTTGTTTTGGCGTTCCTTCCTTCTCTGATTCAGATTTGAAATGATTATACAGAAGTAAGACTGGATTGGACAATGGAAGTTATATTCCAGCATATGAAAACAGGCTGTGCTCCACAAAACCAAGAGCAGACACTTTAGTCAATGAAGAGATTACTCCCTCCTGTGTTTCCCAGGGTAAAGTGGACTTGAGAAAATGTGGCATCCAGAAAAGCATTAGAAAATCCACATTTTCAGAACTTTCAACTTCACTAGGCAGGAATGCTTTCCTCAGCTCATAAACATTGTGCAGAAAAAGCAATCCCCTTGCTGTAGCCTTATTTTCGTTTTATTCTCTGCATACACCGAGAAGTGCAGTATCCAGACAAATGTAAGAGCAAGACCTAACTAGATCCAAACAGGCATGCTTCAAGACTGAACTTGTTGGTAGTTGCTGCCAGACCAGTTTCCCAGGCATTGTTTCAGACTTTGCAACACACAGTTGAGCACATGTAGGACAGCTTTGGACATGGGGATGAAGAAAAAATATCAAAAAATACTCGTATACGAGTAGCTTATACTCTTATTGCCAGTAATTAAGCCTTAGAGACCTTTAGGGTTGGAAATAGAGGGGGGTGCAGGGGAACACCTGTGCAAAAGCTGGGAAGCATCAAATATCAGCAGTCGGGTGGTGGAGCTGAAGGACGGTTGCACACCCTTCTCAGGAATCCCAGAGGACCAACTGAGAGCCCAGGATGGAAAGATCCGACCCCTGGAAGTTACGCACCCCCGTGCCAGCGCAGTCTACCTTAAGTGCACTGCCAAGTGCTAACCGGCACAGGGGGCCTCCGTGGGAAATCCATCCCACAGGAAAACCCTGCGGAAGCAAGCTCAGTGTGATGTCTGTTCCCGCTTGTGCCTAAGAGGTTGCTGCCCACACATCTGGGGCTTC